TACAGACAGTTGTCCACTGTGTTAGTAATAAAGAGATTTGTAATAATAATGATAGTTAAGAAACCATGATTCTAACATACATAAAGGAACTTATCAGCAAAAACAGCAAACCCATGGTAAACAAGTGGTCAAGGCATCTGAATACATAGTTCACAAAATAAAAACATAAACACAATAAATATTTGAAAAATATTCAACCAGACATACAAATTTAAATTATGATGAACTATCAGCATACACATGTTGAATATGAAAAATAATGCATAGCTCTAGGAAGCTACAAAGAATATTCATAGCTGATATTATTATAAAAATTATAAAATGATTCCTCTTATTTTTTCAAGCTGTGTGGTATTATGTAACTAAAGCCAGAAAAATATATGCACCCTTTTCACCAGAAATCTAATTTGTAAGAGTTTGGTCACAGGAAATTATTCCAAAGACTTAAAAAGCTTCCACTTCTTCCACTAGAGGAATTTTATACAGCAGTATTAATCATTAATTAATTAATAACCAAACTAACCAAACTCTGCCCAAAAATACTGAATGTTCAAAACATTGAAAAATCCTTCATAGGTCTAATGAGGGAGAAGATAAGGGAAATGTGGTATCCCACACCTCATTGGAACCTGTGATCCCAACTGCCCTTGTACTATTACAATCAACTGAGAGAGAGTTCATGAAGGACACCAGTTTGGAAAAGTGGCTGGGTTACATTTCAGACTTTACATTTTATGTCATAAGATGCATGGTATGTCTAATACATCAATCACTTTGTTACACTTTCAGTATGATTCAAGGATACCTAATAATGCATCTCTGGTAGCATAGTGCCTAAGGCATTTGACTGCTAACTAGAAGGCTGGTGGTTCAAACTCACCAGCTACTCCTCAGAAGGCAGGTTGGACAATCTACTTCTGTAGTGATACCACCTCAGAAACCCAAGGAGGGGTCACTATGAGTCAGATCCAACTCCACAGCAGTGAGTTTGGTTTTGGTTTTGGTTTGGTTTCAAGTATGGTAAAGAGAACAAATGCAACGAGAAAGCTTGGCTGTGAGCAAACAGTGAAGCAGGGGAAAGAGAGTGGAATCTTTTAAAATTGTAGGATTTAAAATAATTCTTGTTTATCAGAATATCAGAAGTAGATAATTGTTATGTTCTTGAGTGCTTATTGAATGGCTGGTATTTTAAATGAAGACAAGCTTAAAAGGTAAAATTAAAAATTGATGATCAGAGGTTCTAACTTGAATGTCATCCACAGCATAAGGCATGTAGGCTATGAAGACCTTTATTCCTCTAGATTTCAGCTCTCCCCATTAATGACAGCAGCCATGCTCTTCCCAGAGCTGTCTCGGCATGTGAGTATGTGTGTATTTGTGTGTGAGTGACTGTGAGACATGTGCAGAGGAAACAACCCAGTCATCAGGACCCACTGGAGGAATGAAATGGTCCACTGAAGTGTGCCTTCAAAAAAAGTAGAAGTTATATACTTTTAATTAATGATTTTCCACATGCCCTTGGTTTCTTAAACAGAATAATAAGCATAAATGTTTATGAAGAGACAAAAAAAAAAAAAAAAAAAACTCTGCTGTCAAGTGGGATCTGACTCATAGCAGCCCCTCCTTGAGTTTCCAAGGAGATGTCACTACAGAAGTAGATTCCCCAATCTTCCTTCCAAGGAGCAGCTGGTGGGTTTGACCACCAGCCTTCTGGTTAGCAGTTAAACGTCTTAGGCACTACACCACCAGAGCCCCTATGAAGAGACAGTGTACTGGTTTTCTGACATTTTCAATTCTGAAGTGTCAGTTTAATGTTAGGGTCATGGTAGTTATTATAAATTTGTGTGTGTGTGTCTGTATAAACATAAACAAAACTCAAACAAAAATGTGACATACTGTGTTATCTTAATGGAAATAGAATTAGCTTAAAGAAAAAGGAATACTACATAGATGAAAAATACAAAGCCAAATTTAATTTAGTGAATGAACTTAAATTAGCTCAAAAGTAAGAAATTAAAACTGTTTCAAGCCCCAATGGTTGTATCTTAAGTACAGAATAATGGCAAAGCTTTTCTCTATTCATTAGGCAAAGAGCTGTTAATCTTTCTACTTTCCTGCGTTCATCATGGACTACAAAAGACCTAAACTATGTTGAAAGTACAGTGTAACCTTGTTATTTTTTCTTTTGTGGTAGTTAATCAAGTCAGCCAGCTCACTTGATTTCTGCAGTTCACCAAGCAGTTGTCAAAATCAGAATCTTTCCTTTTTCCTTCCTGTAACTGCAAAACTGCGGCTTTCTTTCATTGGCAGTTGTAACAAAGATGTAGGAGAAAAACTTTGTGAAAATAGGTTTAGTTGACTCTGTCCTCATGCTTGTGTGTCCTGATGGCAAATATCTGGGTCATGTGCTGTTCTGCTACTCCACTCCCTTGGTAGACATGACTAATTGATCAGAACATTCATTCTGACCAGACCCAGACTTGATCATACAATTCCCCAACAATGCTCCTGGCAGCTTAGTGAGTTAAAGGGAGTTACTTGTATGTAACTGTTTTGCCTTCTTAGTTCTACATTGACATGGTCTGTTGACTGTTTATTCTTTTGTTTAGAGCTAAATGCATTATCACCCCTTTGATATGAATAAGAAGCTGATACTGAAATGAGGATTTAAAAAAAAAGATTATTTGAAGGGATAACTTATTTAATGTATAAACCACACCTTATGTCCCACATTATACAGGTTAGCATTCACAGGCAAAGAATGGGAGAGAAAAATGATACAGGTGGCCTGTGTGCAGTTTGTGTGGTTGTAACTTCCCTGTATTAATGATTAAGGTCATATTCCCACATCTCCCTTATGGACCATTTGTCTCAATGTAATAATTATTTAGTTACTGAATATTTATCATCACAGAAATAAGCTGTGGAGGAATAAAAAGCTTCCACTGACTGGAAGCTGGCACTAAGATTAGCTATTTCATAAAGTAGTGTCTCTATTTCATCAAGTAGCATTCTGTTTGCATCTCAAACCATTCCCCTCTTCCCCTCCAGGCTTTTTAAATTCTAAGCCTTCTTTGTAAAACTACATTGCTGGCAGAACTCTATTTTTGGCTTCTTGCCTCCTGACCATTAGGACCTTGTTTCTCCCCAAGGAATGTCTGAATGGCTGCCAGAAGGAATTTCTCTTTTTGTCAAATATGTGGGTATTTTATCGATTAAGGAAAAATGGATATAAAGCAAGCTGAGATGTTTTCATCTAGGTATTTAGACTTGACCATGTATCCATATATCTTAAGAAAGATAGAATTATAGCCATACCATCACTGGGTTGCATAAAATGACTCCATGGAGTGCTTTTAAAAGTGAGAAAAGCTATCATTTTCTTTTGACATTTCTTTTTCATCTTCAGTTAAATACATTGAGGAATAAAAATGAATCTGAAAGCGATTAAAAAAAAAAAAAGTGTGTCATGTTTCATTATTTGCAGCCCTTGGGCACTGCCAAAGCCCAGATCTTGCCACCCAGCCCTAAGAGCTACTCCCCAGCCAGCATTCCCCATTATTCCTGCCTCTGTCAGTCACAGCATATCATGAAGAGAAATATCCTTATTTAATTTTGGCGATGACAAAATTATGCCATTAATCTTAATTAAATTACAAAAGATTCTATTGTATGCAAAACCCTACTACTCAGTACCTAACTGGTAGCATGATTGTCTCTCAGGAATGGTTAGTTACAGGATGCTCATCATCTCTTAGGAGATTTTAAAAGAGTGGAGGAGGATATTCTTAAGCTTTATGGAAATAGGGGTTGGAGGACATATGCTTCCTGTTGTGAGTGTTAGAGAAGGAGACTGGAGAACTTGCATTGGGATAGTAGCTCAGTGAGGCCTCTGCAGTACTTTCAGGAGGTCCTTAGACCTTTATTGGGAGACCAGTTGTATCTCCATCACCATGCCCAAGACTTTACAGCCCTATATATTTTTTTAAATGCTCCTGGAAGACTTCAGCATTGCTATCCTTTTTAATTAACTAAAGTGCATGACCCTCCATAAACCAAACAAGCAGGTAGCCTCGTTAGGCAGCTCACCCAGCAGCTAGAGGGAAAGAGAATGGGATAAATTAAGAACAGAGCACCAGTGACATGGACACAAATGCATTTTATCTGCCATTAATCAAATCATATAAAAAAGACTGCAGCAGCATTAATACACTTTTTTTTTTTTTTTCCCCTCAGATTCCAGCTGGAAGTGCATGTATGCACTCAGAAACCAAGGAGAGAGGCATTAGGGGACAGGAGAAAGTGGATTAGATATATTCCCAATTCTCACTTTCACATTGTTTGAAACATAACCCTTTTCTGCATACCATTCTGCATTTCTGGGCCAATATTTTGTGTCAGTGCTTAGTCTCCAGAACTGTGCCAATTCAGTACCTATTCTGAAGAATGTTGTATTTCTTTTCCTACTTAGTTTTTGAAGCACTGACTATGAAGTTCTGGTGCCAAGAATAGAAATAGCCGTGTGCTAAGATAAGGCATTGTAGTCATACTGATCATTATTCCTTTTGCTATAAATACTGTGCCCTTTAGATCTTCCTTTAAGGGTTTCTAGTGAGAGTACTTAGCTAATCTCCCTCACTACCACTATCTTCATGTTCTTAGAGTGAAACATCTTAGAGTGAGTGATATAAATAAACCCCAAATTGTGGCATATGTTTATGGTTGGATTTGCGTGCATGTGGTGTGCCACGTATCTTTGTTGTACACTAAAACCATGCACCCAGCCAAGACAGTTAAACATGAGAGGCGTAATCTAACCACATTGTTGGGCATTACTTGAAATTGACTCTTCAGAGTATGCACATGTACACACACACATACATATACACATAACTGTATTTTCACATGACATCATTTCTTGACCCAGAAACTTGGCTCCAGAGTTTCTCAGGTACAGAGAGATATTTATGTTCATAGGAAAATTCTAAATCTTCTTTCAGGTCTTGACTCAGATGAAGAACATGGGCTGCTCTGTCACCACACGTCCTATCTAGGTGACTGTCTGGGGTTGATCTCTGGCTCTTGATACTTTGTAAACTTTCCTCTGTATTTCATGTCTGCACGTCTGCATGGTTACCTAAGTTCTGGGGCTTGGGAATGCAAAAAAAAAAATGTTTTGGCTTTCTGTTTCCAGAATGTTCTCTGGGTTTGGGTAGAACTTGAGGAAAGGTCCATCTCCTGGTTATTGTTAATCAACTCATCATCCAGCGTGGTTATTTCATGTAAAACTGGCAGCTTGGGCATTTCTTGGGATGGGGAAAGAAGAAAGCATATTGGCTCTAGCAAATATAAGATCTGCTAGTTGTCCTCATAGCTGTGATGTGTGTATGCCATACAGCCAGGAAAGACAGCCAATCTTCATGCTTTCTGATTGTTGGTAGCTTGCCTGAGTTTGTTTTCCTTTGTTTTGTTTTAAACAGGGCAATAACTGAGTTGGAGGGGGGAAAGATTTTATTTAGCTACTAAACTCATTTCCACTAAGAAGCATTGTGGTGGGCTTTACTGAACTCCCTTTCTATGTGTGTTTCTCCCCTGCCCAGACCAGAGAGTGGCCTCCTTCTGTACATTGACAGACATGCAGCACATGCAGGACTTGGAAGGGGCTCAGGAGCTACCCTTATGTGTAGACCCAGGCAATGGGAAGGATTTCCTGGACACCACTGGGTATGTGAACCTCTGTGCTCCCCTCACTCCCCCATCCCAAGCACCTGTAACTAACATTTACTTAGCTTACCCCAGCCAGCCCAGGAGACCATGCCCACCTATGGGTGTTAACCCCAACCCTCAGAACCCATAGGAGAAGCTGAGTCGGGCTGACTCTACTTCCACCCTGCCTGCCAGACATGTAGTCCCATGCCAAGCATGACTGCTGCACCCCATGGGCCGGCTCTGCCTGCTGGTACAGGTTGAGGAGCTGCTACCAGTGCCTTGCTCAGGAAGGTAGAACTGCACTCACAGAGGGGAGGGGTAAAGTCCTTGGAATCTGTGTCTGCCACCTAATTACTATAACGGCACCAGGCAGATACACCTTGCTGATCTCAGCCCTCCACTTGCCAAGTCACCATCTGCCTCTGCTGCCATGCATGCTGATCTGGCCATGGCACATTTCCCTTCATGATTCACAACCCCTAGTCCTTGACCCTGGTTTGTGCTGTCTGCTGAAGTGCCTCAGAAATGAACCTTCTTTTTCTCCTAAATTCATGACATATTTATCCCCCATGAAATATAGATTCAGTGTCATCCATTCCTAACTCCAACCTGTATATGACCTTGAATTAACCTGCATGTTTACCTTGGTAATCAGCTTCATGATCATTTCATGACAAGGAAAGGCAAATTGGGAGAATGGAAGCTTGTATTTGGTTCCCAGGACTTCATTCTGGTCTAGCTTGTCTTGGTTGGCTAAACTCATTTAAGTAGTCTATCTTTTGTTTCCCCACCAACCCATATTTCATAGAGATTCTAAATCCCTTTTAAAATCAATAGAGACCTGGAAAGAATTTTCTACCAAAGCAATAATATCTATACTTTTTCAATCTGACATAATATTTATTTCCTTGCACATGAAATAATTTTAAGTGAAAACAAACAAAAAACCTGAATGAAATGTCTTGACTTCAACTCCATTGAGTCTTTCTAATTCCATCCTTATTTACCAGGGAGCAATCACCATCAACACTGACTGGCAAAGTCAATCAGCTGGAGTTAATTCTCCGACAACTGCAGACTGACCTTCGGAAGGTAAAGCAGTCTATTGGAAGTCCATAATCAGACGCTTTCCTTATTACTGTCACTCTCTTTTAACTATTACAAATAAAAAAGAAAAGACTAAAAAAGATAACTCCCAAAACAAAACCAGACATTCAGCAGACAGGAGAACTCCTGAGATCTGTTTCCATTTTCTAGACTGTAACTAATATATTTCATTTTAGGTGACAAGAGGATCACAGTGGACAGGACTATAACTGAGACATGCCCTCTGTGTGGCCAGTCTTCAGTGCAAGGTCAAAACACAGCAAGCTAGTAGTTTTTGATTCAGAGAGTTAGCAATTGTACCAAGCATATAGGAGCTGACCTGAGAGGAGTTTGCTGCCAGAAAGCCTGGTGTCCCCCTAATGCTGTGCTTCTGTTGAGTCAGCACCAAGACGCTCAGGACTTCTACTCCACACATCAGCCCATGCAAGTTGCCCTCAAAATAAATTAAATAATTCATTGCACAAACATTTGCTGAGCTCTTGGTATATCATCTGTACAGTGCTAGACTCTGGAACTACATCAAGAATCATTCCCTGCCTCAGATGATTCACCACGTACTGGGTGACAGGTGGAAATGCCCTTTCATTGGTATGAAGATTGCTTTGCTAGATGCAGGCACAGTGCCCAGCCAAAGATGAATAAAGGTCAACCTGAGGAAGACCACATTCCAGGCGGGGGTGGGGGGACCTCCTGTTCAGCATTTGGTTGGGGAGTTGCAGTGCCATCATTTAGCACAGCTGAGACATCAGGGATGTAGATGAGGACTCCAAGAGATGAAGCTGGACAAGAAAACAGATCATACTATAAAGCATACTATATTTGAGACTGAAAGTAAGACGCAACTATGGAAGGATGATAATAATTCACATATGCAGATCTGAATGCTAGATTGGGGATGAGACTAGAGGAAGGAAGAGCTCATCAGGAGACCATGTTGGGGATGCAGCAGGAAGAGGGTGATAATTAAGTGTGGGGTCCTAGAGAAGACAGGAAGGGTGGAGCCCAGGGGCAGGCAGTAGGATGAGCTTTAGGGAAGAAGAGAGATACTACTTGCACTAGACTCCAGGGAAGAAGAGAAAACCAAGTGAAGAACTAGTCATGTGTCTTAGTTTGGTCGTTACAAAAAGAGAGTACCTATGTAGGTAACTCATGTAGGAGTTACCCACTTACTCATTCCAAAATTAATTACTGAGAACCTGTTACAGATTTCTAGGCATTAAAAACATAAGGCAACTCTGCCCTCATGGTGGCTATGGCTAATAAAGATAATAATGCCAAGAGTGATAAATGTGACAAAGAAAAAAAAAAAAAGTAGGGTAAGGAGGATAGTATGTGACTCAGTGGGAGAGACAGGGAAGGGAAGGCCTTTCTGAGACAGTGACATCTGATTGAGCAGACAAATAAATAAAGCATGGAACCAGGGATACAAATATAAAGCAACAAGAGTGGTCCAGCATGGATGAAGAGCTGGTGGAAGCACTGAGGCAGAAGTGAGTTTGATTATGTTCAGAAGCCCAGTGTGTCTGGAGTGGGGCACTGGAGGACAGTGGGAAGGAGGCAGACAAGGTGCAGAGGCAGACTAGGGAAGGACTTTGGATTTTGTTCCAAATAGATTGGAAGCTAATGGGAAGTCTGGAGCAAGAGATAATCATGCTTTGATATATGATTTTAAACAATCACTTCAGCTGCTTTCTGGTTAATAGGTGGTGGATGATGTGGGACAAGAAAGGAGGAAGGTGACTGACAAGGAAGTTCTTGCCATAGTCCAGGCAAGAAGGATGTTGGGAATGGTGAGAAGTAGCCTTGAGACTTGCTGATGGTTTGGGTATGAGATGTGAGTACAACCAAAGAGACTAGATTTTTGGCCTGAACAGCTGAGTGAATGGTGGTGGCATCTCCTCAGATGGGAGGTATTGTGGCAGAGCAGGCTTAGGGTGTCAGAGGAGGGAAAGCGGAGAGGTCAGGTTGGAGGCTTCAGGAAGAGAGGCCCACAGTCTGAGCCTTTGTGGTGCTCCGGTGTCAGGAAGAAGAGGACAGTCTAGCAAAGAAAACTAGAATGAGCAGCCAGTGAGTTAGGAGATGCCATTAAGAGCATTCTGTATGTGAAGAAAGTGCTTTTAACAGGAGGCAAGAGATGAGCTCTGTCAAATGCTCCTAAAAGAACTGACTGATAGATTAAAAAACATGGAAATAGTTGGTGACACTAAAAAACAAAATATCAAAAGAGATCTGAGGAGTGGATTCAGGAGGGATCAGGAGAAGAGAAATTGAAGAGGGGGTAGTGTAGATAACTCTTTTGAGCCTTAGTTCTGCTCTCCTAAGAAAGGGAATTGGACTTCAGTAGCTGGAGGGTGATGGGGCAGGGAGGGAAGGAGGTCAAGAGAAAAGCTGTGTTACATTGTTTTGTTTGTTTTTAAAGAGGAGAGATTACAGCTGGTGGAAATAATCTGGTTGGGAAAGAATAATGATGGGGGTGAAGAGAAAGAGGGTGATTTCTAGACAGGCAAAAGGGTTGGGATGTAGGATGCAAGGAGGGGAGGCAGTCTTAACTAGGGGAAGAACAGGCCATACACAGTTACTAGAGGTGGAGTGGAGTGTTCAGGTGTCTATCTGTGCACACATGTACATCTGTACTCCCCACAGTCCATACAGAGATCACCTGGCCTAGTTCTCTGATTGTTTCTCCTTTTCTCAGTCACATGCAATGAACAGTAGGAAAGAATACAAGGGGATAGAGAATAAAGTATGAAATACATTGTTGTGTAGAAGCTACACTGACTAGCTGTGTTTGTTATCATTGCCAATCAAGGCTGAAGGTGCATTGGAAGTATGTGGCATAGGATAAAGTGAGATCTCTCAGCAGAGTTAGATTATTTTCTTTGGTTTGGATGACCAACTGTCCTTGTTTGCCCAGAAATGAAAGGTTTCTAGGAGAACAGGACTTCCAGGCCTAGAGCTGGGAAAGTCCCAGGCAAACTGGGATGGCTGGTCATCTTCTGTCCAGTTGTACATATAGACTAGGGCTTAGCCAAGAAAGCAAGAGAAAGGAGAGAGACAAGGACACTTGGGTCAGCACGTGGATGGAGAGTCATTATGGAGGTTGCTAAGGCCAGTGAAAATAATGTCAGAATAGTGGGTTAGACTGTTATTGGAGGGAGTGGATTCTGGAAAAATTATTTTAAAAAACAGGAGATAGTAGTCAGGAAGTAGGAGCCTAAGACAGCTTTAGGAGGGTACACAGTTAGTAGGAATGGCAGGATGGGATACAGCCATGGGAGTGGGCACTGAGGAGGGTAGGTTTTAAGATTGTTGTGAGGACATGAGGCTGCATGTCCAGATTGCTGAATGGAACATCTTAGTGGAGCTGAAATGGTCAGGAAAAATAACAAGATGGATGGGAGAGTGAACCAGGCACTAGCATCTTCCATTGGTGATGTCAGGAACTGGGGATACAGTGATAATTTCAATGAGGAGGCTGTTGTTAGGTGCTGTTGAGCTGGATCTGACTCATAATGACCCTATATATGACAGAATGAAACATACCTGGTCCTGCACCTTCTTCACAATTATTGCCATTCTTGAGCCCATTGTTGTAGCCACTGCAACCTCCATAATGTTGTAGCCATCAGCAACCTCCATAATGACTCTCCATCCACGTGCTGACCCAAGTGTCCTTGTCTTTCTCCTCTGTCTTGCTTTCCTGGCTAAGCCCTAGTCTATACCTACAGCTGGACAGAAAATGACCAGCCGTCCCAGTTTGCCTGGGACTTTCCCAGCTCTGGGCCTGGAAGTCCTGTCAATTCATCTTGTTGAGGGTCTTCCTCTTTTTCTCTGACCCTCTACTTTACCAAGCACGCTATCCTTCTGGTGGACTGGCACCTTCTGATAACATGACTAACATACAAGAGACAAACTCTGGCCATTTTCACTCCTAAGGAGCAATCTTGCTGTATGTTTTCCAAGACAGATTGGTTCATTCTGGATGAGGAGACTAACAGGTCTTAAGCCTAAGGGCATATGTTTCCAAGAAGTTGGCTTTTTAGGGAGGAACAATAATCTGGGCTAAGCAGTAAGGAACAAGGAGTTCAGCAGCCCCACCTCCAGCCCTGTGTTCTTTGGGCTGTAGAAGAAAAAGAGCCAGCACTGAGGGCTACTGGGGAGGCAATGTCCTCTGGGAATGTAGGGTCATTTAGAACAAGAATATGAGGTCTCATAAAAGACTAAAAACAGAGGTGGTGTTAGTGGCAGGATGTGAGTTTCATAGGTCTCAGTCAGAGGGTCTAAGGGTGTGAAGAGATAAGCAATGGGGTCACAGTAGGGATGTCTGAGCCAGACTGGAATGAGAGTCCTGGGAATGAAGAAGGAGCATGAACTGCTTACAGTGACTAAGGAAAAGTCCAGCTATGTGGCAGATAGGGTTAGTCTGATGTCCTTACAGGGAATCTGTTACCAGTTCTAATTCAAGCCTCCCTCTTTGGACTTGTTTTCTAGTCCAGTGATAAGGCAGGTGATACTAGGGAGGAAGCAAGAAAGAAATAGGAGAAACCTTGATAGTGGTGCCCCACAGGCCAAGGATTTCCTGAAGAGCCAATGGTCACTGGAAACAGACCCCACAAAGTGGCTGAGTTTCAGGCCTGGAAGGGCCCCTGTGGGGATCAGCAGTCAGGTCAGATCCCATTAAAACATTTCTGATGGTGGCACTCTGAGGATGAGCCTCCTTTCTCTGTATATGGAAAGACATCCCTGGTGAACTGAAACTGGCATTGTGTTGTGCATAGTTCATAGTGACAAACTTGTAAGGTCATTATTATAGAAACAAAATATAGCTGAAAAGCTTCAGGTGGAATGAAGGGTCTAAGTGCTTATTTCATTATAAGCATACTTAATAGCTATGTTGATTAATTTGCACAGTAAATAAAATGTGGAAAGTTCTGCATTTTTTAAAGACTCTTAAATTTGTAGCATTGTACAAAATATTATTCTTACTTTTTATTGTAATCTCACTACAGTTTTTAGGTAGAGGATAATGTAAACTGTGATCATAGCCCTCATATAACAGCCATGTTGATACCAATTAGAAGCCAACTAAAATGAATGGAGGGAATGGGTGGTGGTGTTGACCCCCATCACTTTTCTCATTGGCAGAAGGCACCTAACTGAGGCTAAATAAGGGCTTAGGAAGAGAGACTTGTCAGTTACATTCACGACTCAGTTTGTTTCCTCTGCCACCAGGAAAAACAGGACAAGGCAGTTCTCCAAGCGGAAGTTCAGCATTTGAGACAAGATAACATGCGGCTGCAGGAGGAGTCCCAAACAGCAACAGCTCAGCTGCGGAAATTCACAGAATGGTTTTTCAACACCATTGACAAAAAATCCTAACCGATTCATACTCCATCAAGGGACAACTCTGAGAATGCCTGTAGTCCCTGCGAAATCACGAAAGTATGATTTCTCACTGCTTTCAATCAGTCATAGATGTGTTTGCTCTTCCACTCTGTCCAGCACCATTCATCCTAGCAAGATCTGGAGCCTCGATTCCTACTTGGTGGCCCCTTGTGAGAGCAGAGAACAATGCTGATGTGAAGATGAATGAATGTAACTCCTGGTGTAAAGACAAATGTCAACCCCTGGGTTGGTGGGGACGTTTTCCTTTTAGATTTTACTAAAATGGTGCTCTGACTGGGGCTTACCTCAAGAGGGAAGGTAGTTGGGTTTTATTTCCCGTATATCAGGTGACTTGGTAGAGATGTTAAAGCAATTGACCATAGTTTGGGCTTTAGTATTGTAAAATAAACTTAAAAGCAAATAATCAGACATATACTTTAATGTTAAAGGTGCTCTATTTTTTTGTATGTACAGTAGTTTATTTCCACAGCCACATGGTCATAGCAATAAGAATGGAGGCATAGTAAATAGTTTGAAAAGCTGTGTTTGGGGGAGAAAGAAAAAATGATTGGTTTAACACTAGTTCGAATGCAGTTACTTTAGAGACTTATTTATTTGCAGGAACAAATGGTGCCTGAATATTAACAGGGTTCTGATTAAAAAAAGAGAAAAAGATACATATGCCTTGTAAATGGCTCACTGAGTAGTCTCTTCAACTCTTAGTTCACTTTTGTATAGTTAATGCTCTGCTGAAAAAAAGAGTAAATCTGCTTAATTACTAGAACCTTCCTGTGTGCTGTGAGCCAGCTGGATCACTTGTACAATGCTAAATTTGTTTATCTTTGTACAGAAGCTTTGATGAAGTGTCTTGTATTTAACACCCTTATTTAAGCTTATTTAACCTTAAATTGTTAATTTTATAAAATTTGGTATCATCTGCACTATGATGAGAAAGGTAGATAACAGCAAGCTCAGAAAAGACTTGGCTTGCCAGAAATAGACTGGGGAGTGGGGAGGGGAAATTCTAACAATTGGATGCTGCTAGTACACAAGTTGTTTGTATTGCTTTACCATTTTTAACTGTTATATTTGAGATGAACATACATTTTGCTTTTTTAATAAATGTTTAAAAGAAGTCCACATAAGTAATGGTGTTATCAGATGGATGTAAATTTTTTGTGGTCTAAGAGTGTCAACAATCTAAATGCATATAAATTTAGTTCAGGTTATTTAGGATCTTGAGCTGTATTAAATACTGTTTAGCTACCTTCTTATAGACTTACACAGTCCCAAACTGATTTAAGTGAAAAGTAACTAGGATTTATTAATACCAACTGTGTGCCCAACATTATTGTCTTTTCATTAATTTCGTTTACCCTCACAGTAATCTTAACAGGTAGGCGATGGGATCCCATTTTATAAAAAAGTAAAGTGAGACTCAGTTTAAGTAATAATGAGTTGCCCCTTGCGGTTTTTTAAAAAACTGTCATCTTATTGAACAAAAAATTTGATGTTGCTTACAATAAATAATACAATAAATAAAATAGCTTTACAATAAATAAACCAAAAAGAAAACAAACTCACTGCCATTGAGTCATTTCTGACTCATAGCGACCCCCATTTGGGTTTCCCAGGCTGTAAATCTCTTAAGGAAGTAGATTGCCCCATCTTCCTTCTGCAGAGGGGTGGTGGGTTTGAACCACTGACCTTCCAGTTAGTAGTCAAGTGCCTTATCACTACAGCACCAGAACTCCTTTACAATAAATAAGTAAATTGACTGCTATCAAGTCAATTACAACTCATGGCAACCCTTTAGGACAGAGTAGAACTGCCCCATAGGATTTCCAACGCTGTAAATCTTTATAGAAGCACACAGCCTCATCTTTCTCCCATGGAGCAGCTGGTGGGTCCAAACTGCTGACCTTTTCTTTAGCAGCCCATTGCTTTAACCACAGCACCACCAGAGCTCCTAAAATAGTAGGACTTCAATAAAATAGTAGGGATTTGAAAATAATCAGGAAGCCAAACCAAAAAACAAACTCACATAAGAAAGAAGACATAAGAAAGAAGTGGGGAGGGAAACAGCAAGGCACATAATTTTTGACCTTCTGAGAGCAGAAACTGTATCTAGAATTGATAGGAAACAAAGTTTTTCCTAGAATTTTCCCTGAAAGGAATTTCTTATGTTTGAAGAAAATCCTTAGTGTTCTATAGAAGTATATATAGCTTTAGATGTAACATGGAGCTTCCTTCTATGAAAGACACAGACACACCTCCAAAATGCACCCAATGATGCAGTTTTTCAGAGTCAGAACATTAAAGATCTCTCCCGTTCTCTCCTTTCACTGTGTACCAGGAACAGGATCCAAAAGTGATCGAAACCCATCATGCCATATCTCCATGGAACTCAGAAGTCTAATATGGGAAGGTGTAAGATCTCTTCAAAATGTAAAAGAGTGCCTGGGAGGGCTCCCTTAAATAATCATTACAGTAGCTGACATTTTTCTTAATTGTTCTGTTGTGCTCAGGTTATGAAGGAGATGCTCGGAGAGGAATATGCTAACACACGACAATGCAAATGCAATAGGAAAGTTTATTAGCTAACTTAAGTTAGGGTCTTTGCTCTTACCAGGTCAGTGGTTTAAGCAAAAGACCCCGTGCTCCGGTATTCTCACAAATTTATGGAACAATATGGGGAGGGGCAGCACCAGGGCAAGAGGGTACAGATGATTGGTTGTTGCTAAGGGATCTAGGGCAGTGATCTAAGATGTTGGGGGACGTAAAGAAACCCCCCGGCTCCAAAGTTCACTTAGGAAAATATTATCTAGGGAGGATGCGGCTCAGGTATGTGGGAGACTTTCAGGAGTCGAGCAAATCTCCGACACGTGCTGAATCCGGATGGCTTTTGTGATGCGTGCTGAGTTCGGAGGAAGTTCCTTGATACCTGCTGAGACTGGAGGGCAGATAAAGGCTCTAAGGAGTGTTTAGAATTCCAAAAGTCCTGTTAGTATTGCTGACACTAAAAGGTTTCTGGTTAAAGATTTTCCTGGAGGCTACTAGAACTCTCAGGCTCACAGTTCTATGTTCCAAGCACTATTCTTACCCCTTTATTATCTACATGTTGTTGTTGTTGTGTAGATTACCCAACCTTCTGAGGAGTGGCTGGTGGGTTTGAACCTCAAGCCTTCTGGTTAGCAGTCAAGTGCCTTAGGCACTACACTACCAGAGCTCCCTATTATCTACATAGCAACTCTATAAGGTAGGTACTGTAATCTATCTCTTTTAAAATATAAGGAATTGAGACCTGGTCAGGGTGATTGGGGAGCCCTCCATCAGTAGAGGACTTGCGAAGTTTGAGAAAGAGCAAGCCATGAGAAGATGGGAAAATGTTCCAGGTAAAGTAAACATGGAATTCAAGGGCCCCAGAGTTCAGCATATTCAAGGAATCTGGGAAAGCAGGATATATAGAAAATGGGTAGTAGAGGGGAAAGTGATAGGAAGTGAATTTGAAGAAACAAAACCCACATCATTAAGGACAGCATTTGGGTTTTGTTCTAAGTTCAAGAGGAAATTGTTGAAGCAGGACAGTAGCATAATATTTATATTTAAAAAGGATTATCCTGATTTTTATAGGAAAATGGATTGTGTAGGGCAGGAGTCTATACACACTTTTTCTATAAAGGACAGACAGAAAATATTTTAGACTTTTAACAGTCATCTGCTGTCTCACATATTCTCATTTTTATTTACTACCCTTTAAGTATGAAAGATCCATTCTTAACTTGCAAGCTGTACAAAAAATAGGCTACAAGCATACTTTGCCAATCCCTGGTATAAGGGAAAGAGCAGTATGAGACGGTGTCGGCATGGTCCCTGCCAAGGCAGTGAAGATGGGGAAAAGTAGATGAATCACTCAGGAATGTATTTTGGAGGAGAGCCCACAGAATTGGCGAAGTTTTTGATATGGGGGGAAAGATTTGACCCAAAAGATAAGACCTAAACTTCAGAGGAAGGGAAGGACTGCATGTTCTTCAGACACTTTTCCATAAGTATGTCTTGCCTGTGATAACAGAGTATCATCAGAGCTTCCATTTGCCAAATAGCATGGTGAAATGGCTTTTGGACTATAAACATTTTTCAAACACGTTTCCAGTCAACACCAAGCCATAGAAAAATCACAGTCATGCTCCCATACTATGTGTAGTTTTGAGCTATTTAGCATCCTGGTGAACGTTCTGTTAACCACAAAATGTACCCCTTAAGTAAACATGTGACTTGCTATATGGTCTTCCTGAGAATATATTAATATTGGAATATATCTGCTAAAATAATTATTTTCATTTAGAATAATTAATATCAAGCAGATTTTTTTATTTTTCTAATTAACCATATGGAGTGATCTTTTATGTATTAGGGCCATGATAATATGTGACAATTAAAATGAATTAGCATATTGAAGGCTTTTGTTCTACTAGTCTATGTACAGAAAGCAGGTTTATCATTAAAAATACAAGTTAAATAGAAGGATGGGTGGCACATACAATACGGTCCTGCTTTTGCTGCTCGTAATTTTCTTTTGAAATGTTGGGAGTCTGTTGTCCTGCTGTCCCAGGAAAATGCAGTTTTTGATCATAATTAACCAAGAGTCTTTATCAAACTAAGTAAAGACAAGAATTAAAGGAGAATAAAAAGGGTACATATAATGTCTTCACAAAGAACCCTAACTGGTCAACAACATTATTTTAACTTGAATAATTGAACTTGAATATTAAATCCACTTGTTCTTTGTGTAAAATACTGGCCTGAGAAACTTGAACCTGGCTCAGTGCAAGAACTGACATATAATTTAGACCAAATAATGGATTCTCTAATGTGGGAAAAGCTGTTAATGTCACCTTTTACAGAGTAAACCTCACTCTCATTTCCAACCAGATAGAAGGCATGTCACTAGAAACAAACCACCACCTGTGCCAAAGCCACTTCTACCACCACAG